GGGGAAGGGGAGGGGAGGGGAAGGGAAGGGAGGGGAGGGGAAGCCTCCCCCCCTGCCACCGCCACTGGGGGAAGGACGTGGAGTGGGGGTAGTGGGGCTGGGGCTATGCCGAGCTGTTCTCAGCAGAGGGAGGGAGGGGGGTCATGGGGGCCTCTGAAGTCTGGCGGCTCCTCCAGGGGTGTGGGTGGGTGGGTAATGCCACTGCATGCACCACAGGGGATCTGGGGGAGGGGGGACATGTTTCCCCGCTTGGCTCCCCCACGCCACACCCCTGGACAACCTGCTGGGGTCTGATTGCCCCACAACCTGGCCTGGCCTGGCCGGGGCCCCATTCATGGTGAATGGGGCCTCAGCTGGGCCAGGTCATGGGACAATCACGGCACAGCGTGGCACCATGTGCCTTGCTGCCCAGCCTGGCCAGCGGCAGGACTCACATGGCGCTGCCCCATGCTGCTGTCAAAGCAGCAGCAGCAAGGCAGGGAGCAGAGGCCGAGCCAAGCCTGCAGCTGCAGCCCACCCTTGCCCCGTGCGCAGATCAGGGTGGGCACATGCCCGCCCCCCCAGCTCCTCAGCACCATGCCTCTGGAGGAGCCACCAGGCTCCAACTGCCCCACAACCCGGCCGAGCCGGGTCGTGGGGCATTCCCCACAGTGCAGGAGGGAACAGGGCAAGGGTGAATAATTTGCCCCAGTCCCATTCCCTCCTGCACTGTGGGGGGTCTCAATCTGCTCCCCCTCCCCTTCTCACCTTTTCACATATGGATGCTGCAAGGCCTCCTCAGCTGTCAGCCGTTTATCAGGGTTAAATACCAAGAGCTTCTTTAGAAGGTCCAGAGCTAGAGGGGGTGTAGATGAAGGTAAAAGTTCCTCAAATGTCACTCGTTGTCTGAAAATTAAGAAATTAAACTGTAATTCACATTGCCCAATTTTACTGAAAAGTCTTATATTTCAGCACTGGAAATATCACAGAGGTAAAACCTGTCACCTCAGACTGCACTCACGTGCAGTATAGTTTTCTTGAAGTCTCTCACTTGACAAACTACAATTACAGAAACTCCTGTCAGTTTTCTAATTGTTAGTAACACAAAGTGAAGAAAAACAAAATATAATTTTATCAGTTTAAGATTGTAAATTAAAGTTGCTGGCAACACACGCGCACAAATAATCTTACTACATTTTTAAAAGTCCACTTAGAAAAAAAGCCATTTGTTTCATCAGGATTTCAAATCTCTTTGTAACATCATAGTAATCACTATTGCACTCTTACACTGATTGACAGTGAAAAGGAACAAACGGTCTGTGCAGCTGGTGACCCCTAAGCCTTGCCTGAATAGTATAAAAAGTTTAAAAAATGAAGGAAAGAATAAGACAGAAGTACATGGAAAAGCAAATAAAAACTCTGGGTTTACCCATGTTAGATCATGCCATGCTAACCCAATATCTTTCTTTGATAACTGATTTGAACTTAACTTAATATTTCATTTAATATTTCATCCCATGAGGACATAAAAAGCAGAAAAGGGAAAAGGTTATTTAAGCCAAAGGACAATACTGGCAGAAGAACAAATGGGTATAAATTGGTTGCAAGTAAATTTAGATTGCAAATGAAAAGTTGTTAAGCATCTGAGGAGTAAAATTCTGGTACAGCCTTCTAGAAGATGTGTGAGCAAACAACCTAACAAGTGTTAAAATAGACCTTGGTAAGTTTACAAACAGGATTATGTAAGCTCTTATCCTTCAGCACCTGCTGTGCTAAGGAGTTTCTGAAACTACAACTACCAAAGGTGTCAGTAAGGAAAGGCAAAGACAGAAGTGTCCTTTCCCACTCAGGTATCACAAAGCACAATGGATAGGCAAACACAAGGGGAGAAGTCCAAAAGCCAGAGGAGATACAAGTCCCAGGGGAGTGTATGTAATAACCTGTTCTAAGATATATGAAGAGATGCGTACACATAGGCATAACACTAGTGAAAAAAAATGTTACTTGTTGGGTTTGTTTTTTTTAAATAAAGATGATGGAAAATTGAGATCTGTCAGCCAGAATCAACATGAAATCTTGTTGACTTCTTAAAAAAGTAAAGAGTGTAATTTGTCCTGCAAAACTGTTCTTGAATAAGAGCACCACTCAAAAAATAATTTTTTAATCAAAATTCTTTATTTGCTAGGAAGAACGTGGAAGAGAATTAAAAAAAAGAAGGAAAGAGAAAAAAAAAAAAGAGAAACAGGATGCAAGTAAGCATGAGTGAAACAGGTTAAGACTGGATTAGCCAGTTGTGTAAACTATAGTTAAGGAAAAGGCTAGGCTACAAGTTAAGGGTTTTTCCTCAGACTATATTCAACAGAAGCTGAGAACTGATAACTCAATTCTTCAGTGAGAGGTAGAATTACCCCTTGATCCAAGAACACCATTTATGTAACTTAAAGAGACGGTGCAGAACATGCCAGGGTGTCCACCAGCTCAAGCAGATTCAAAGACTGAACCCAAAAAGGGAAATTCTGCCTGTAATCCACATCTGGCTGGTTTTGCACTCGTGTATGATCTACCTAATTGCACTGTTGTAACATGACCTATTTTTAAATTGCTTGTTTTTCATAAGTAGCAGTGAAAGAAGAATTGTGTTTGCTACAAGGGTGGAGGCCACCCTCTGTCTTGAGCTATATATCCTACTAATTAACACTGGCTTTTTCTGTAAGATAAGCAAGGCTTCTAATAAAGTCTTCCAGGTATTTAAGACTTCATTTTACTTACAGTCTAAGTAACTCATAGTCCCTACAGGTTGGGAACAAATATACATACTTTTAAAAAAATAATTCATACACATTTGCTATCAAGAATTATAGAATGAGCACCAGCTATCCTCATCTACTCGTTGTCTGATATGTCCTCTGCAAGTAGGTGGTCTCAACAGATCAAATGCCATGCTCATGCATTAGGCAAGGATCCAAGACGTTTGATTCCCTTACCTGACAACTTCCGTTTCCCTTTTAAGAACAAATTGCATCAAACACATCCAAGCAGCATTAAGAACATCAGAAAGCGTACCACTGTGAAACCTCACAACTTAATGACCTGCAATTTGGGCCATGGCAAGCAAAAAGCTTATCAATTAATAATATTCACTGATCTTGTCAGAGTCTGCTCTTAGGTTCAGTTATTGTTTCTATCAAATAGGTGGGGACCTACCTAATACAGGGTGGCTGTCCCCTGAGGGCCAAGTACAGTGCTGGTCGCCATTTTCATGGTGGAGTGCAGCAGGGCCCCTCCACACTTCTGATTGGCTGAGGGGTCCTGGAAGTCCTGGCCCTTTCCAGAGATTGACAGATGGCCATTTGGGGTGGGGGACGACCATACCCCCACTGTGAAAATCTCCCCTCCTCCCTCCCCTGTGTTTCAGGATCCCAGGGCTTTCTGCCCTTTTGTTTTTGCAACTTTTTTTTCGTCCACTTGCTGCCCATTTCACACTTTTTCGCAGTCCCCATGCTTTTTTGCAAGGGACTGTCCAAATTTACTGTTTCTGTGAAAATCGCAAAGTCATGAATTTGGTAGGTAACTAACCTGCAGAGAATCTGCAGTTAGTGAATCTGCAGAGAAAGGAAACCACTGATAAATGGCTGATGAACTTTTCCCTCCAAGTCCTGGTTAAAAAAAAAAAAAAATGAAAACAAAGTAGAAGGCTCACCTGGAACAAATGCGGTTGATAACTGAGGCTCTGTAGTCTGACTGCATAGCTAAAATATCTGCAAATAAAGAACAGATTCAGTGAATGTTACAGGCATAACTGACATCCCAGGGTCGCACAGCCGATGACAAGAAATCTTGCATTTGAGTTTAAGGAGTTAAGATTGCTAGAGAGAATTCATCCCTTTACTCTTCTCTGGTGCTTTCTAAGAAAGAATCTTAATTCCTTTACTTTAATTAATGGATGCAGCTTCATAGCTCCTTGTAAGGTGCTCAATGTAAGAATTAGCTCTATTTTAAAAATGAAAATGGAATAACATTTCTGTATACAACAGCAGGTGCTGTATAGGGAGGGGATAGAAAAGTAAGGATAAGGACCTTACAGATCTTACACTGGGAGATTTTTGTCAGCTGAGGCTCTTTATTTGGCAAATAAAGACATAACAAGATCGAATGCCTGGAAACCGAATCTAGACATATGCAGACTAGAACTAAGGTTCAGTTAAATACAGTTAAGTATAATTAACCACTAGAACAATTTACTCTTGATAAATGGAGTAAATCCTCCATTACCTGATGGTTATGTTTCCAAAAACTGTATGCTAGCTCTAACATATGATATTGGCATAATCAGAAACTTCTAGGTGGAATTAAAGCCTATGTTGTGAAAGATCAAGCCAGATCATAATAATCCCTTCCCGCTCTAAAATATATGAAGTGCAGGTTCTTAGCTCTGGTTCAGATCAGACCAGGCCAGAGAGCCTGGTTATTACATCAGTTACCTTAAAATATACTACCCTGTCATCAGCCACCTCCAAGCTTGTTGGAAGCAGCGAGTTCTCCTCTCACCTAATCACCTAGGGTTTTATTCTCTATACTTTCCCTGACACTCCTCTCCTTAAAGCCTTTTTGACTTCCTGGGAGGGAGGAAGAATGACTCATGATTGACAACATCTTCCCTGAAGCAACTGGGCTGCTTTCTTCCCACCCTTCCCATCTCTCTCCTCATTAAATATTCCCCTTCATGGAAAACAGTCTCACCTTCTGGGGATGGGGCAGGAATGACACACAGTATCTTCTCTATCTGATTCACTGTGGATGTTCCAGGGAAAAGAGGTTTTCCAAGCAGCATCTCTCCCAGAATGCAACCAATGCTCCACATATCCACCCCCTTTGTGTAGCTAAGAAAAAGACCAGAGAGCAATAGGATAAGAGCTAAGCCAATATGTTCGCAACAGTTATCCCCTACCTTCTGTCATGCCTTCCCACATAAAAAGGAAATCCAAATGTATTCATTTTTTCCAACAGGGAGGTTGTACCAGTGTCCTGTGCTTAAGAAGGAAGGTAAATAAAGGAAACAACTGTGTGCTACCTTGCTGGGATTTATTTGCAACAAACTAAAAATCAAAATGCATGCTAATTTCTAAGAAATTAACCTAAGAGGTCAGCAAAGAAACCTCTTGGAACCATAAATAGCCAGATAAGAGTGACAATTACTGAAGCAGAATAAAAGGTGAATAATGGGCAAGTGACAGCTTGTCAAAACATCCACATTCTGCAACTGGGGTCTGAACCCAGTTTGTGTTTACATAATTAAACAATTAACTTTTGCAGAACAAAGACAAAGGAAAAATAATTTTGGCTTTTAAAACACAGTAAAATTTCCTTTCCATCCTTGATAAAATAATAAAATCAAATATTAAAATAAAAACTGTCATAGGGTAAGGGTGGCTATGCCAGACCAAATGTCCTGGATCTCATCTCATGTTAAAACAGAGGTGGGCAAAATACAGCCCACAGTCTGGATTCGACCCACCAATTGATTGGATTCAGCCCGTGGCTGCCCCCAGGGTATTCCACATGGGGCTGATCCCTGCCCACTCCCGCCCAGGGCAACATAGTCCCTTTCCTACATCTATTGAAGGAAAAAAATACTATATAAAACAAATCACTTTTACCTCTGAACAAAAGAATTAATAAACGAAAACCCCCAATCCCCTCCACAGGGATAGGGTAAGCACTGCTTCAAGGAAAGCAGCGAAAAAGTGAGGAAAAAAGCCCACCATCAGAAAATACTTAAGTCCAGACTGGGGAAGAAGGGCTGACCAAAGAGAACTAATGAACAGGGGTAAATTTGAGTGAATGGGGGTGATGAACAGTCTAGGCAGAGGCATACGAGTGAATGGCAAGGCCAACTGTTTCGTAAGAGATGAGTGTAGAGAAGAGAGTTTAGATGTGCATAGACATGTGTAAGTCTGAGCTGGAAACAGGAGTACATGTGCCAGTCTTTATGATATAGGAGGACTACAAGTTTTTTACCTCTGCTGATAAGTTTTCCTGATAATGTTGTAAAGGTGTAATACCACAAGAACTGAATTCCTAAACTGTCTCAGAACAGTCCATCTCCAAAATATCAAGCAAACTGTTCCCCAGTCTTTCAGTTACCTGAGAGAGGAAAGCAGGATCTCAGGAGCACGGTACCAGCGTGTTGCCACATATTCTGTTAGTGTAGGGTTGCCTTGGTCCTCATGGATCTGACACAAGGAGCGGGCCAGACCAAAATCACAAAGCTTAACAAAGCAGTCTGCATCCAGCAGGATATTTGAAGGCTGTAGATGAATACACAATATGATAAGTTCTTTATTCTCTGTGCAAAACAGGAAGGATAAGAAAACCCATACCAGGCTGCAGCTGCTCCTGCTAGAACAAGCAAGAGAACATGAGTAAGTGTTTCAGGAGACAACTGACAAAGCAGGTATGCATTACTCCTTTCAAGTTGTGACACAGTCTTGTCTGTTTCCTCACTTCCTTCACACCTCTCCATAAACCATTTAAAGCGAGCCTTCGCTGAAAGTAAAACACTTCCCTTTAGGTAAGGACTAATGATTGTAAATGCACCTTTTGGTCCCTGTGAATGACATTTCCCGAATGGATGAATTTGGTGGCCTTCAATAGTTGGTAGAGAATGTAACACTTGTGGATGTCTTTCAATAAATTCCCTTTCTTGATCACAGCATGCAAATCTGTCTCTGTAATACAAAATATTAACAAATTATTGGTCGGAAATGTAAGAGGCCCAAAGATAGGGCATCAGGTATATTTCCTAAATACCAACGTTTCTAGCTCACTTTCGGCAGGAGCTGAGCAAAGTGACTGTTGAAAATCTACAGTGATTTTGAGAATACCATAACCCGTTTAACACTGGTTCTGCTTCTGAATGTTGGGGATATAACATGCTTAACTTCAGAGTTACTGCAGCAGCTTCACATGGGGCAGAGAAAACCACTTATATCCCTGGACTCTTCAAAGTTCTTTTCAACTTTCCCTTATGGTACTTGTTGACTAACACAATCAGAGTTGCAGTTAGCAAGGGATGTGAAGGGTAACAAGATTTCATAGACATTAGGGCTGGAAGGGACCTTGAAGATCATCAAGCCCAGCCCCCTGCTCCAGGGGCAGGATGTCAGCTAGGGTCAAAGGATCCCAGAAAGATAAGCATCCAAATGTTTCTTGAATTAATCCAGAGTAGGTGCCTGCACCACTTTTGGAGGAAGTCTATTCCAGGCCTTTGGGGCTCAGACAGTAAAGAAGTTTTTCCTTATGTCCAGCCTAAAATGGTCATGGAAGAGTTTATGACCCTTGGTCATTGTTATCCCTTGGGGGGCTCTGGTGAACAGACATTCTCCCAGATCCTGTGCAAGAGTTTCTACAAGTATGTCAGGAGCAAGAGGAGGATCAGGGAAAGTGTAAGTCACTTACTGAATGGGGGAGGCAATCTTGTGACACAGGATGCAGGAAGGGCTGAAGTATTCTATGCCTATTTTGCCTCAGTCTTCACAGGCAAGGTCAGCTCCCAGACTGCTGCACTAGGCAGCACAGTTTGGGGAGGAGAGGAGCAGCCAACAGTGGTGAAAGAATAACTTAGGCACTATTTAGAAAAGCTGGACATGTACAAGTTTATGGGGCTGGATGGGATGCACCCAAGGGTCCCGAGGGAGTTCACTGATGAGATTGCAGAGCCACTGGCCATCACCTTTGAAAACTCATGGCAATCAGGAGAGGTCCCAGATGACTGGAAAAGGGCAAATATAGTGCCCATATTTAAGAAAGGGAAAAAGGAGGATCCAAGGAACCACAAACAAGTCAGCCTCATCTCAGTCCCTGGAAAAATCATGGAGCAGATCTTCTAGGAATCCATTGCTAAGCACTTGAAGGAGAAGAAGGTGATTAGGAACAGTCAGCATGGATTAATCAAGGGCAAGTCATGTCTGACCAATCTGATTGCCTTCTATGATGAGATGACTGGCTATGTGGATGCTGGGAGACAGGTGGATGGGGTGTACCTTGATTTGAGCAAGGCTTTTGATAGGTTTCCCACAACATTCTTGCAGGCAAGCTAAGGAATCATAGAATCACAGGACTGGAAGGGACCCCAGACGATCATCGGGTCCAGTCCCCTGCATGAGCAGAAAAGACATCTGGAGTCAAATGACCCTAGCTAGGTGACCATCCAGTCTTCTCTTAAAGACCTCTAGGGTAAGTGATTGCACCACCTCTCAGGGGAGCTTGTTCCATAGTCTGGACACCCTTGTTGTAAAGAAGTGTTTCCTAATGTTCAGTCTGAAACTATCTTCCAGGAGTTTGTGGCCATTGTTTCTAGTTTTCCCCCAGGGCGTCCTGCTGGTGAGCAGTTGTTCACCGAGCCCCCGATGTACGCCTCTGATATAACAGTAAGCCGCAATCAGGTCCCCCCTCAGCCTTCTTTTCTGTAGGCTGAAGAGTCCGAGATCCCTCAGCCTCTCCTCGTATGGCTTGCCATGCAAGTCCCTGATCATGTGCGAGACCCTTCTCTGGACTCTCTCGAGCTTTAGCACGTCCTTGTTGAAGCGCGGTGCCCAGAACTGGACACAATACTCCAGCTGCGGCCACACCAGTGTTGAGTAGAGTAAAGTGGGAGAATCACTTCTCTGGATTTATTGGAGATGCATCGATTGATGCATGCCAGAGTTTTATTGGTGCTGCGGCTACTGCGTCACATTGCTGGCTCATATTCATGCTGCAGTCTATTGTTCATTTGTAGTGCTGGTCAGGTTAGCTATGCCCAGCCTGTAGGTGTGCTGGGGGTTCTTCCTTCCCAGATGCAGCACTTTTGCATTCCTCTATGTTGAACCTCATCTGGTTCCCTTCTGCCCAACATGCCAGCCTGTCTAGGTCTACTTGTATCTGCAGCCTATCTGGGGGTGTGTCCGCACCCCCATATCTTGGTGTTGTCCACGAACTTGGCCAATGAGCTTTTCACCCCCTCCAAGTCATTGATGAAGATATTGAACAGCACTGGGCCAAGTACTGACCCCTGGGGTACGCCGCTGCCCACATCTCGGCAGGATGACACCGATCCATTCATTTGGACTCTCTGTGCCCTACCCCGCAACCAGTTTCGCACCCACTTGACGGTCCCGCAGCTGAGTCTGATATCTTCCAGTTTTGTGATCAGTACCTTGTGAGATACCAGGTCAAAGGCTTTCTGGAAATCGAGGTATGTGATGTGAAACGCTTTTCTCTAGTCCAGGTGACGAGTCACCTGATCATAGAAAGAAATGAGGGTGGTCAGAGAAGACCTGCCTGCAATGAAGCCATGCTGGCTGTCATTCAGTATCATGCCTTCTGCAAGTCTGTCACATATATATATCTCATAGTTTCATAGTTTCTAGGGTCGGAAGGGACCTGAACAGATCATCAAGTCCGACCCCCGGCTCTTGGCACGAATGAGTGCTGGGATCATAATACCCCAGCCAGATATCTATCCAACCTCCTCTTGAAGACCCCCAAAGTAGGGGAGAGCACCACCTCCCTTGGGAGCCCATTCCAGAGCCTGGCAGCCCTAACGGTAAAGTAATGCCTCCTGATATCAAGCCTGAACCTACTCTCAATCAATTTGTGGATGTTATTTCTTGTTATCCCAGGTTTTGCCCAGGGGAAAAGAGCCTCTTTGATGAATATTTCTAGGATTTTCCCTGGAACAGAAGTTAAGCTAATTGGCCTGTAGTTTCCCGGGCCTTCACACTTCCCCTTCTTGAAGATAGGCACAATATTGGCCCTCTTCCAGTCCTCCACTGGAAGTATGGGTTGGATGAATGGATTGTAAATTGGATAGAAAACTGGCTGAAGCATCAGGCTCAGAGGGTAATAATCAATGGCTCAATGTCTAGTCGGCAGCCAGTATCAAGTGGAGTGCCCCAGGGGTGGGTCCTGCGGCTGATTTTGTTCATTGTCTTTGTCAACAAACTGGAAGATGGCACACAGTGCACCCGCAGCAAGTGTGAAGATGATACCAAGCTGGGGAAAGTAGTAGATATACTGGCGGGTAGGGCTAGGATTCAGAGTGACCTCAACAAATTGGACCAAAAAAAATCTCATGAGGCTCAACAAGAACAAGTGCAAAGTCCTGGACTTAGGACAGCACAATCCCATGCACCAGTGCAGGCTGGGGGCTGACTGGTTGGGCAGCAGCTCTGCAGAAAAGGACCTGGGGGTGACAGGGGACAAGAAGCTGAACAGATGCCAGCAGTGTGCCCTTGTTGCCTAGAAGGCTAACAGCATCCTGGGCTGCATTGGTAGGAGCATTACCAGTAGGTCCCAGGAAGTGATTATTCCCCTCTATTCAGCACTGGTGAGGCCCCATCGAGAGTACTGTGTTCAGTTTTAGGTTCCCTACAACAGAAATGATATGCAGAAATTGGACAGTCCAGCAGAGGGCGACAAAAATGGTGAGGGGTCTGAGGGACATGACTTGTGAAGAAAGACTGAGGGAACTGGGCTTATTTAGTCTAAAGAAGGGGAGACAGAGGGGGTGTTATAGCAGCCTTCAACTACCTGAAGGGGGGTTCAAAGGAGGATGGAGCTGGACTGTTCTCAGTGGTGGCAGATGATGGAAAAAGGAGCAACAGTCCCAAGTTGCAGCGAGGGAAGTTTAGGTTAGATATTAGGAAGAATTCTCTCACAAGGAGGGTAGTAAAACACTGGAACAGGTTACCCCATTAGATGGTGGAAACTCTATCCTTGGAGGTTTTCAAAACCCAGCTAGACGAAGCTTTGGCTAGGATGATCTGGTTGGGGATGGTCCTGTTTTAAGGGGGGAGTGGGGGGGGTAGACTAGATGTGACCTCCTGAGGTCCCTTCCAACCCTAACTTTCTATGATTCTAATTCTTCTGCCAGTCCCTGTCCTGCTGCTAGGCCTCAGTTAAAAGGGCTGCATTCAAATTTAAGGGTTTTATATCAATCATACTAAAAAAGTAAAAAATGTGGTTGCCAGTAAAAAGCATACAGTTAAAAAAAAAATAAAAAATCTTGGATTGGCATTCATGCTTGACTGCAGTGATGGTTTTACACTGTGCTGCCCCCAACCCCTGCCAGGGGCCCCCTACTTGCCCCTACACTCTGACATCCCTGACTGCATCCTGAACCATGCTGCCTCTCCCCAGTCCATCCCCTCCCCAGCCTTAACCCTGTCAGGCCCACCCCCCTCATCTGGGCATGGACCACCTGCAACCCAGAAGTATTTTAGGTACCCTGAGATGATGCAGCAGCAGCAGCAGCAGCAGCAGCATGTGGCTGACAGAAAACATCCTGGAGGATTCTGTGCTCCCACCTGGACACGAGGTGGCACTGCTGTGCTCGGTCTGTCAGAGTTTCAATCAAGCTGTGGCTGCTTAGCGTTTTTACTGAAAGTTTTGTTTGTTTGTTTTTTTTACACTTTACTGACAGCCATTTTAACTGGATTTTTTATTGACAAAGTTACTGACAGTTGGCAACCCTGTTATAAGCATACGTTCAGCATACTCACACAATGGTCGATATTAGTATGAATCACTTTCACCCTAAATCACTTCCCTGTTCCATTAATTCTTCTTAAACAAAATCACATTGCACATAGACACCCATTCACTTTTTACCTCTCTCTTCATCCCTTGTAAGCTCTCTTTCAATTCTGTTCTCATGTAACTACTTTAAAGCCATATCACTGCTTTACCTCTCCATTCGCTCCACCCAACCAGCATGTCTACCATCCTCATCGATCCATCTGCCTAAATTAATATTCCTACCAATCCCCCAAAAGAATCTTTATAGTCTGCTGCTTTTATGGTAATGAATCAAGAGAAAGAATTCAAATGGCCCAAATAGAAGTGGTTCTCACCCATAGACTCAAAAACCAGATAGATGTCTTTGTCATTCTGGGCTCGTATGACATCAAGCAATTTGATGATGTTTGGATGTTCCCCAAATTCCTGCAGGAAAAAAAAAAACACCCACTTGTGAGACTCAAATGTAGGCTGTACTGGAACACTGGGCAGTACAAGCATTGATTAGCATTAGCACATACAGTACTCACATAGAAGCTTTGCTAAGGCATTGACCAATGTAGGCCTCACTAGAACAGTGACTGATACATGAACTGCTCATACAGCATGAGACTGGCAGGAAGGGAAGCCAGGTGTATCAGGGACAGGACAGTGCAATATTCATTTAATAAAGACAGAAAAGGAACAGACAGATCAGGATGCATGACAGGTACAGTGCAGTACAAATATATTATTCAGTTTCTTTTAGTCAAAATGTTTTTGTTAGTTATATATGGACTGATCTGCAGAAAAGACGAACTGGGAAACCAGGAACTTTGTGCTGGCCTGGCAGATGTAGTTTGTGCTAATACCTTGTTGCAGGCAAGCACAGGCTAATGGAAAGGAGAGCACTGTGTACTGCAGACAATAAAACTCTGAGCCTTCATCGCTGAATGAGCCTGTGGTCTTTGAGTATGCTGTGAGCCTCATACACTGCAGTCAGAGACAAACAGGTGTTGATCAAACACAACATCAAGTACCTTCATTTACAAGCCAGTGGCGGTAGGAAAACGCAACACACAGTGCTTCCTATTACACTTCAAAATAAACACCAGTTTATCTTCACCGTAAAAAGGTTGGAGACCACTGTCTTATGGCAATGAGTTCCATACCTCAATTATGTACAATGTGAAAAAGAACTTGCTTTGTTAGTTTTAAACAAACCTTAAATCTAAAAACTGTTAACCCAAATTAGGAACCAACCCTAAATATTAACTTACACATTTAATACCTAAAGCAAAGAAACATTTGGTCACAGAAGTATGATAATAACTGTGTCTTCAATATTATTATTATCAAACAAGATTATGTTTAGTGGGTGACAAGGCTGTACAACATCTTGACAGATGAAAGCAGACACGACAAGTCAGTCGGTCAGTGGCGTTTGGCATTGTGCTGCAGGGAGAAAAGCCTGATGCGTGAGCTGCAAGCCTTCCCACAGGGGCTACAGGTCCACTTGCCAGGTGAAGGTTGAAGCATACTCTGCTTTCTGGCTTGCCTGCAGGCTTCAGCCTGGGCTCTCTGACAGCTTGCTGTGGTGACTGCACCAGCCTTGATCCAGCTTCTCCAGACTGAGCAGTTATAGGCAGGGTTCTCTCAGTTGTCAGTGGGAACACTGACTTTCTTGAGACCTTGCTTGACCTTGTCACTGTATCAGAGCTTTGGCCTTCCTCTGTGTCACAGGCAGTTCTTGAGTTGGCCATAAAGCACAGCCTTTATCAGACGATCTCGAGGCATGTACTCCACATGTCCCAGCCAGTGAAGCCTGCAAGCGTCCAGCACAGTCTGCATAGACTGGATGCCAGTTATCTCAAGGATCTCATTCTTGGTGATCCGCTAGTCCCAAGTAACTCCGCTCCTGCTTGGAGTATGTGACCCAGCTTTCACAGCTGTAAAAGGAGGGTACTGAGGACATAGGCCTGATAGAGACACCTTTGTGTTCAGGGTTAGCAGCTTATTATTTCAGACATGCGAGATAAGTTTGCCAAAGGTGACTGAGGCTTTGCCAATTCTCACATCAAGCTCTCTAGAAAGGCTAAGCGAGCTGATAAGAATTGAGCTGAGATAGCAGAAGTGATCTACATTGCCCAGATCTTCATTACTGAAGTAGATTTTGGGTGGGATGTTGGTGCCCTGTGATATGACAACTGTCTTCTTGATACTGGTGATTACCATACCAAACCTGGTGCATTTTCATCATGATCTGCAATTTGTCAGTTGAGTTAGAGACAAATTTAGCTTCATCAGTGAAGAGTGGATCCTGGATAGTGAGCTGGGTGATATGCCTTTTGCTCTGAAATTGTCTGATGTTGAACAAGCAGCTGTCCATCCTTGATTCAATTACTAAGCCAGCTTGATCATTTCCAAAAGCATACTTGAGAAGGCGTTATCAATATTATTATTAGCAAACAAAATTATGTTTAGTTAGTCAACATTTCAGCAAAATAAACCCCAGGCATCCAAAACCATGAAAAGCATGAATAGCTGAGAGGAAAGACCTGTGCACTTCTTTCCACCTACATATTGCCTATGATGCTGCTAATAATACACTCCAATATTCCAAAGAAACTTTCACTTCTACCTTGACGAGCTACCCAAAAGCAATCTATAAATCAATTTTGAATCTAGCACTCTTAAGGAACCTAAAATAAATCCTCATCATTTTGATGTAAACTATATTAAGAAATCATCATAGTGAACTGTCATGCAGTCATTAATCTGAGATTATTTTGCCTTAACACAGTTGATGTCATTAAGCATTAGCATTAAAGTCAAGTTTATCCTCACCATCCACCATATGGTTCGGTTCCTTTTTACAGTTTAAAATTCACATTTTGCACTGATGACAGAATTCTTAATTTCCTAATGATCTTTTCTATGGTACTTATCACTATGGCATTGAGCGCCTTAGAAATATTTGTGATTTCTCTGCCCCAGAGCTTATGGGAGAGAGACTTACTTGCATTATCTGTTGCATGGACACAGCCATCTTGCTTGGCTATCTCAAGTTCATTTTAACAACCCTTGTAGTGGTGGGACACTGAGACCCCTCATCCCCCTGCTTTACCTCTGACAGGGTAGGGTGCTCTCAGTGGTCTTGGGCAATATGCCTTGTAGTTATGTGACAGCATTTTTTTAGCTCTAGAAACAGATTAGTTAGACAAAACACTTGTACAGGATGGTTTGGATAGGAATGATTCTGCCTTGAACAGGAAGCTAGACAAAATGACCTTCATAGGACCTTTCCAGACCAATTCTACGATATTATGAGGAACTTAGAGGTCCAGGCAAACATCCACTAACTCTGTGCATCTCAGGAGTAGTGACTGGATGCCGAGAGACAACGAGCCCATTATTCATAGATTGTAGAGTCGGAAGGGACCACAACGGATCATCGTGTCCAACCCCCTGCCTCTGGCAGGAAAGAGGACCGAGGTCTGATGACCCCAGCCAGGTCTAGCCTCTTCTTGAAGATCTCCAAGCTAGGTGAAAGCACCACCTCTCTTGGAAGTTCATTCCAGATCCTGGCCACCCTTACTGTGAAAAATTTCTTCCTAATAGCTAACCTAAATCCACTCTCAACTAGTTTACACCTGTTATTTCTAGTCACTCCCTGGGGGGCCCTAGTAAACAGCACATCACCTATCCCCCGTTGACCTCCCCTAATAAATTTATAGGCGGCCACAAGATCTCCCCTCAGCTGTCTCTTGTGAAGGCTGAAGAGATTCAGCTCTCTCAACCTCCCCCTGTAGAGTCTTTCCCGAAGGCCACTAGTCATGCGAGTGGCCCTCCTCTGGACCCTCTCCAGATTCTCCACGTTCCTCTTGAAGTGCGGCACCCAAAACTGGACACAGTACTCCAACTGCGGCCTGACCAGTGCTGCATAGAGGGGGAGCATCACCTCCTTTGATCCATTAGACATGCACCTGCTAATGCACAAGGTGCAATTAGCCTTGTTGATGGCCTCGCTACACTGCCGGCTCATGTTCATCTTGGAGTCAATTATGACTGCAAGATCCCTCTCTGCCTCCGAGCTGCTGAGAAGGACACTCCCTAACCTATAGGTGTGCTGGGGATTCCTCCTTCCCAGGTGGAGTAGCTTACATTTATCTTTATTAAATTGCATCCTATTTCTCTCTGCCCATTGATCCAACCTGTCCAGGTCAGCCTGAATCTGCTCCCTGCCCTCCGGTGTACTAACTTTGCCCCATAACTTGGTATCATCAGCAAACTTGGAGAGGGTGCTCTCCACGTCCTCGTTCAAATCGCTGATGAAGATATTGAGTAATACCAGTCCGAGGACCGAACCCTGCGGGACCCCACTGCCCACCTCCCTCCAGGCCGAGAAGGACCCATCCACCACTCCTCTCAGGTGCAGTCCCTAAACCAGTTGGCCACCCACCTTACCGTGTAGGCGCCCACTCCACAGTCTGCTAGCTTCCCAATGAGGATAGGGTGCAAGACTGTGTCGAAGGCCTTCCTAAAGTCCAGGAAGATGACATCAGCCTCAGCTCCCGCGTCCAGGAGTAATTATTTTTTGGAAGTAATAAAACATCTACAGCCCATTGATTTTAACCATGGTTGGGAGTGCTCATTACTCCTGAGAAACCCTAAAAATCCTAAAGGTCTGATACACAGCGCACTAATGGGAGTCTTTCAACTGAAATGTAAGAGCACTAGAACAACTCCAAAGCATTTCAAACTAGCTACCCAGAACAACAGAAGCCACATGCGAAAGTTCTGGTGCCTTGCGCAGGACTACCTAAAGAAGGTTGTGCCAAAGGAAGGACAGAGTTCAGTTTTTGTGGGTTTAGTTAATTGCCTTATGGGATCACTTTTTCTTCTAACAATCCCCCCTTGTGTACTATATATCTTCTGGTTTTTGGAACATCAGCACCACCATTTTGCCTGTTTCCAGTTTAGAAGGTCAGTTCTACATGTCTGCTTCAGAAAGTTCAGTGATGGTATGGAACATACACCAGCCAAAAGGAATAGTTAGAAAGTGAAGGGCTTAATTCATTACAAATTATCTTGTGTATATACGAATACAATTTTCCTACATTTGTTACCTGGAAAAAACTGAACCCTGTTTTGGCAAGGACAGGTTTTTGGTAATGTTTTAATACCATCCCCAAATATCAAGCTCCTGTTCCAAATTCTAAAACACTAGAACTCTCAAAAAGAGTCAGTCACTGATTATTTTGTAAAAAAAAAAACCCTCATTACTCCTTCTTCCAAGTACTGGAGGAGTATTCCCCCTTCTTCTATCTCAATTGCACAGAAAATTGAAATAAAAAAATACCAACACAAAACTAAGAACAAGCAAGAAAAAATTCAGACCAAATAGTCTGAGTTTAGTAAGGCAGGATTCATCCCTATCCAAACCATCCCATACAAATCCACTGGCTAGCCTCTCAGCAAAACTACACACCCAACCCTGACACAACACAAGACATAACACCCTAATCTGCCACAGGTGAAGCAGGGGGACCATGGCAGCCAATGTCCTGCTGCTGCAAGGGTTGTTAAAATACATTGGAGATAGCCCAAGAAGAGGGACATTCCCATCCCATCCCCTCACCTCCTACAGAGGAAGGCAAAAACCCCCACAGTCCATATCACATCATAAAATTATATTTGTATATACACAGGAGAACTTGCAATGAATTAAGCCCTTAACTTTCTAACTATTCCTTTTGGTTGGTGTGTGCTCCCCGAGTAGAAGGGCAAGACCCTCTAACGAGGCTTTAAGTCCCAGCAATAGCATTGGCACACCCCAGACAAAATCACCAGCCTTGGCTGCAGTCAATACCCAGTGCCTCTGAGAAAGGCTTAAACAAAAAACAAACAAACCACGAGCCTTACACATGTAGCAGCAGGAGGGGAAAAAAAAAGAAAAGATCTCTTCTGGCCCCACGAAGCAACAAGAAAGCCCAGAAGCCAGGGAAATACCCATAGTAAAACACAGGCCAGATCATCCCTAACTAGTGACTGTCCAAACTCTTCTTGAACACCTTCAGTGTGGGAGAATCCACAGCTTCCCCAGGCAGTCTACTCCATTGCCTCACCATTTTAACAGTGAATACACTTTTCCTGATATCCAGTCTAAACCTACTTTGCTACAACTTCAGTCTGCTGGCCCAAGTCCTACTCTCTGTAGTGAGAGAAAAGGTGTTCCCTCTTAAGCACCTTTTCTGCAAGCTGAACATGCGTAGCTCTGACAACCTCTCCTCATATGACTTGACTTCCAAGCTTTTTAACTTATTCGCCACCCACCTTCTGACCCTCTAATTTCTCCATGTCTTAAGTGTGGAACTCAATACGGCATGCAACACTCTAGATAAGGCCTAACCCATGCTGTGTAGAGAGGCACCATCACTTCTGATGTCTTCCAATTAATGCTTCTATAGATACGTACCAAAACCACATTTGCTTTTGTGCAGCTGTATCACACTGCAAGCTCATATTGAGTCTGTGATCTACCAAGATCGAGTCTGTGATTTACTGAGATCTCTCTCCCAACTAGAGTTGGTCCAATAAAAGATATCACCAAACACCTTGCTTTTCACTCCCCCCGCCCAAGACCATCATAACTACACTACTAAAACACTCTCTTTCAGTTGTCTGACATCCTCTTTAAACTGTGCATGCTAGAACTGTATGCAGCCTTCCACATTCTGTTGTAATACACAAAAATAAAAATGACTTCACAAATTTTGACAGGATTTTTGTTTAACAAGCTCTGTGGTAAATGTGGACTGTATGTTTTCTAAACAGGGAAAGGGGTAGGCAACTTGCTGGCAGTTAAGTGCTTGTGGAATCAATTTTGATGCTGCTAAACATTTTAGTTTGTTGCTTTCAGTATAGAATTGATTGTACCACTGTAGCTATAACCTTGGAGAAATATCTTTATTTTTAAACTAAGGTAATACATTCTTAGATAGTATACTGATGGATTTAGAGAAAGTTGAGAATCCATGCATAATTACTTCTTACAATCCATTTTATAAGGGCTTCTAGTAAGTTTCAATTTATTCAAGGAATCAGGTTTCCTTCTTCACAAACATCTCCCATCCCACCAAACAAGGGCCTCTAGCCATGAGAACCTAATTTCCCCCCATACCTGACAAGATCTTCCAGTCCTGACACCATGGTCTCCCTACTAAAACATCTAATATACCTGATGAAAAAAAAAAAATCAAGGACTGACAACAAGCAAGATATATGACCAAGAAAAGTGACAGGTGCAAGGAGAGGTAGGAGTTAATCACAAAATAGAACTCCTGATAAAAGTGTAGATGAAACAGCAAAACCACAGGAAAAATGTAAGACAGACTCATTGTACAATGATCATTTGTCACAGTGGAGACACAATGCAGAAAAAGAATGACAGAGAAATGAGAGGAGATAAAAGCTGTGTGCACTTGCACTTTGACTAAAGGGTGAGAAGTAAAGAGGCAAGTGTTGTTGGAAGAGACACTGAGGACACCTAACAACACTTAACGGGGTGGAAGGCAGGTGTCACTTACCTGCAGGAACATAATTTCTCGGAACGTTCTCTAAAATAAATGAAAACATTTATTATTGTCACAGAAAGATGAGGGATGGAAAGAGAAGTGACTGGCCAGTGAGAAGGTTAAGGCTCATTCATGGAGGAGCAGAGGTTCCCTACCTGGGGGAGAGGGCAGGAAACGGTGCCTACAGTCCATGGTTTAAAAGCCTAAGTGAGCAACCACTTAATCATACACGTCTGTGTGGGAAGTGTCCTGCTACTACCAGCCATGCAGCAGTCTGCGTGTTGAGAAATATTTTTATTTGGACTGTGTAAGAGTGGAGCATGATATTCCTGTTTCCCATATAAATATCAAAACCCTTACTAAGCTGTTGCCTTTAACAGCTTGTGTGAATACGCTCCAGAGACCTGCGCCTGAGTCAGTCTGCGAGTCTTGAGAATACCTGTGAAGTCCCCACGCATATTGTCCAGAGCACGGCAGGGCACGGCTCCTCACCTGAGCGTCTGTTCGGTTTCTGAAAGCATCAAAGATCTTCTTGACGGCAACGATTTCTCCTGTCCTGCGATTGACCGCTTTCCACACGATGCCATACGCCTAAGGGAGGAGGACAGCAGGCAGAATCATGGTTCGGAGGTACAGCTACTCAGGGCCAGCCGCAGCGGGGTAGGGCATTCTCAGAAGGTGGAAACAGAGAACCGGAAGCGCTAAGCATCTGGAAGGGAAAGAAGCGACCAGCAGCAAGCCGCGCCTGGAGCGGAGGGGTGCCCAGCCCAAGGGCGGGGCGAGGCGAGGCTGGGGCAGGCAGCGGGGTCCCGGTCCCCATCCGCCCCGCCCCGCCCAGC